CAAAAAATATTGTTTTTTTTTTCTAAAAAAGTCAGTTTTTTTTTTTTTTAAAGCACAAATAAACACTGCACAGGTGATCAAATACCACTGAAAGAAATCACGATTTGTGCGGAAAAAAGGACATAAATTTAATTTGGGTGCAGCGTTGCATGACCGCGCAATTGTCAGTTAAAGTAATGTAGTGCCATATCGGAAAAAATGGCCTGGTCAGGAAGGGGGGTAAGTCCTGTAGAGGGCAAGGGGTTAAGACAGGGGTATCAAACTGCAGCCCTCCAACTGTTGCAAAACTACAAATCCCATGAGGAATTGCAAGGCTGACAGTTACACGCATGACTCCCAAAGGTAAAGGCATAATGGGACTTGCAGTTCCTCAACAGCTGTAGGCCCACTCGTCTGACATTGGTGCTTTAAGATATTAACTACAAAGAAATCTGGTACGGGGAAGTAAGATGGCTGACAGGGGCTCCAGAACACTACCTCAGGGCCGAGCTGCTGTCAGTATTGAATTCTTCTCATTTTCCCCCTCCAGGCTGTAAATGAAATCATTACACAAAGGGTGACACAACAGTCATATTACCACACATAAAGCTTTCTGGTTACAGGGTCTTTCCCCATTTAGGATGGAGTGTTGAAGGATTGGAATCCCTGTCAAGTTTTTATTGCTGTGTCTACAGGGGGGAAATGTACCCCTTTATTTGTCCTTGTCACTGAGACTTGAAGGAGAATTCAAAAATGAGACAGCTGTCACCAGAACAGGATTAGAGAGGAAATTTTCCAATGGGGACAGGTTTCTTTCCTCTTACTTCCTGTTGTGTCTCCAGGACAGGAAGTAAAGAGGAATCCTCTGCAAAGGGACACAGACAGCCTTGACAAGGATTCAAACCTTGCAAAAAAAAAAAAAAAACTAAAAAAAAAAAAAAAAAAAAACTGGGGCCTTAGATAAACTTCAAAAAAGATACTCTAATAATTCTTTGAATGCAGAAATCTTTATAAGCAGAAAACCAACCACAAAAATCAAAAAATACTTCAGTGCTTTGCACAAACCCAATTGTACTTAACCAGAACAGTAAACAATGAGCCCCAAACTTATAAATGACATGAACGGAGAGGATAAAAATCTGTTCTCTCCCCATCCTACCACAGGGGATAAAAAGGTACAGGTAGGTGGCCGCTGCCCTACCCTACCCTGTACACACACTATCCTTTTCACTATAATAGTACAATGTGCAGAAGTACTATCCATGCCTTGCAATGGTTTCATCTATATGTAGATCGGATGCAATATTCAGAGCTGTTTATTACCCTCAATAAACAATACTTCAAAGCAAACACACAGTATTCATTCTGGTGACAGGATTAGTAATCTATCACAGAGCGGGGTAAAATAACATTTTTGAAATCTGTGCCGTCAATGTTCGAGTTCTCGGCTGAATCAGCAGCGTTTGTTTAAACCGAACACTGCTTCATAGAGCTGCATGGAGTCAGATCTCGACACAGCCGTGCGAATTTAAAGTTGAACTCCAAACAGATGAAATACAGTAAATGTACAGGAGCTGAATGGATTCATCTTTCTGTCCATCCAGTCCTGGGAGATTTGTTTCTGCTGTAGTTAAAGCGGAGTTCCACTCACCCTGTCAAAAAATAAAAGTCAGCAGCTACAAAAACGTTAGCTGCCGACTTTTAAAAAAACAGCCACTTACCTGTCCCTTGGTCCCTTGGTCCCGTGCCCCCCCCCCCCCCGCAGCCCGTTTCACTGGCCATCCTGTGTCCCAGGAGGCCGGCATCTTCAGTGTGGACACCCGGCTGCGACAGCTTGCGGCTTCACAGCCGGGTACCCACTGCGCAAGTAGCGCTGCGCTTCATGAATGGTCCTGTAGTCTTCAGGGACCTGTCACGTGCCCCAAAAGACTACAGGGAGGGAGGACACCTTCCACTTCCAATCGCCTAGGCGATCGGACCAGAAGTGGGAGCGGGTACTTGTCAAAATTTGGGTACCCGCCCCCCAAAGTTCGAGACCGTCCAAACGCCTAGGCGATCGGACCAGAAGTGGGAGCGGGTACCTGTCAAAAATCAGGTACCCGCCCCCCAAAGTTCGAGACCTTCCACTTCCAATCGCCTAGGCGATCGGACCAGAAGTGGGAGCGGGTACTTGTCAAAATTTGGGTACCCGCCCCTCAAAGTTCGAGACCTTCCACTTCCAATCGCCTAGACGATCGGAACAGAAGTGGGAGTGGGTACCTGTAAAAATTCAGGTACCCGCCCCCCAAAGTTCGAGACCTTCCAATCGCCTAGGCGATCGGACCAGAAGTGGGAGCGGGTACCTGTCAAAATTTGGGTACCCGCCCCCCAAAGTTCGAGACCTTCCAATCGCTTAGGCGATCGGAACAGAAGTGGGAGCGGGTACCTGTCAAATTCAGGTACCCTCCCCCCAAATCCCTAATGGGGAGCAGTTCTTAAAGCGGAACTTCCCCTTTTGGGTGGAGCTCCGCTTTAAGTAACACTGACAGGTCTCGTTCCTCCCCCAGCCTGGGATTGGACAGTGAAGGAGATGCGGTAGACTGATCATTCCATCTCTCTGTTCTCATCAGTACATCTCTTGTGAGAAAATGAGCACTGCAGGACAACGGATTGGCTCCTTGTACAGCTTCCCTCCTCCTGTCTGAGCTCTGCTGTACAGGGACTGAAGGAGGCAGATACCAAGCCAATACTCGACATACTTGTTTGAATTAAACATTTATAAGATTGTATTAACATTAATTTGTGTCTGGAGGTCAGCTTTAATCATTACATTGTTCTGGATACTGAAGGTAGCAGAGACAAGTTAACGTGTTACTTCAGCTGTAGATATGGGGCGACTACCTTCTACCTAGGAGTCCTGTGCATCAACTGCTCTTTGCAGGAGAAATCAGAAAAGCTGCTGCAAGTGGCCCTGCAACCCCATCATCTGCTATTCTCCCCAATTACAGTGCAGCTAAACATCTGCGTTTATGCAGCGCTCCAGTGTCACCTTGTACCCACAGGTCAGCTTGGATAAGAACAGTGGGGACAGCAAGCTTTTACAAAGAATTTCCAAAGATTTAGCAGCTTTGTTGAAGAATTCAAAGCAACCTTCAGCTTTCGTTTCAGTGTTAGGGCTCCATGTACACTGCAGCTGATAAACTGACGTTCTGGAGCTTTTCTGCGTTTTTATTTTCAGCAGCCCCTGAACTCTCCGTAATGTTTTCCTATGTGTCCATGTACACACAGTCGTTTACAGGCAGTTCAGTTGACAGTCGTTTTTTTGAACGCACCAAACTTGCGTTCAGGAGTAGATTTTATCAGCGTTCCAAACGCTTGTAAACACAGCTAACCGCGTTTACAAGCATTAGCATTTAGAAGCGGTTTTTTTTAATCTTCCATATCCAGATGCTGTCCAGAGCCTTTTTTCATCATCAGAAATGCATGCAGTGTTTTCCATGTATTCAAATGGACCCGGTACACCAGCGCAGTCAGTTCCAGGTTTCGTGTGTGAAAGAAAAAATGGTAGAACGTGCCGCATTATGCTCATGATGAGATCCATAGTGAATACAACCAGAAAAGACAGGTCATCTCAACACATACTGCTCTCTCTGCTTCTGCTCTCTATTTCTTTCAAAATGTCTGAAATAGTGAATTATTTACTATTTTTCAGTGCATTCTGGGCATTTTGGAAGGTCTCCTGAGGTAATCTTAAAAAAATGCTTCTAAATGCAAACACTTTTTAGCCTACGGTTTCCATCATTCAGAAGAGTTTTCCAAACACCCCCTATACATGGAGCCTTAAATACGTATCTTAATGGGGGGGATGCGAACCTGAAGTTTGATTGATGCCTGCTAGCAGCTTCTCTACCCCTTTCCTGCCACCAGTGTAAGGCTTACTTCTGTGGCAGCTGCCAGGAAAGGGTGTGTATGTTGCAAGCGGACTTTTGGCTTTCTTCTGAAAGTGATTCAGGTGGCTGTAAAGACACTTAATCACTTCTACAGCCATCAGAATTGAAATCCGCCCTATATACCAGGCTCAGCTGTCTGTAGGGTCCAAGACTGGCAGCGCAGGATTTGTTAGGGCAGAAGGAGCTTAATAAACATCAGTTCACTAATCCTCCCTCTGCTGAAGGAACCAGCAAGCAAAGTGTACATCACTTCCTGGTTCAGAGCTGTCCAGATAAGCAGCTAATGGAGCATAATCTATTCTTTATTAGCTGCACAGGAGTTCAGGAGGAAACCCAGCCCTTGATACCTGGACACTAAAAATGTGGGATGTTTGTTCCCCATATGATAGGGAAGGGGTGTTTAAAAATTAACATACAAAAAAAACCCCTGCTCCCCAATATACATCCATAAATGCATGCCAGAGTAAGAGCAATAATTATAGGGACAATATTCAGTTAACTATAATATCATGGCCTGTAAGAGCTTTTAAAGAAGCTCCCACTGATAATTCTTAGTACCAAAATTTGCCAACATTGCATGGGAAATGAAACGACGCAACAGCCTCAACTTTTATATTTTACGTAGAAATGGTTAATATATTGAAGAGTTGCTTTAAAAAACCTAACAAAGCTGCCTGAAGCTTGCTGTACTGAATGCTCTTCCACAGATTGAGATCTGCATATCCAGGTTCATGGTTGCCGATACTTTCAAAAGGAATGGGGGGAGGGGTTGTTGGCATCCCCCAGTTTTCTTAATTTCTGGTAGTGTCAAAGCTCTCTGGCTACCTACCATGGAGTTTGGTAAACAAAGGAAACACTCTAAGCCGTTTTTTTAAATCAACAGTCGGAACCCCTTTAAGCAACAGGAAAAAAAAGAAAACAAAGAACACTGGTAGCCTTTTTTTTTTAAAGCCAGACACCCTTGAAATTTCTAGACAAACTGTGCAGAATGCAGATGACAGATTTGATAATTAACACCAAATGACTGAAAGGCCCATAGATTTCACTTGGCAACATGCGGTTCATGGTCACCTCCCTGGTGATACTGAATGCTCAGGTGTACATCATTTCTGCCATGTGGGACATTTTCTTTGGAATATACAAGTAGTATTCCATGTACCCAGCCAGATCTTCAATGGTGACATCATCGACCGAGGCTCGGGCCTGCTCTGAGCAGGAGCGAGGGGAGCCGGAGGCATTGGAGCCACCAACATGAGTTCTGTTTTGTAAAGGCTGAGAGCAGTCCTCCTTCACGGTCTTCTCGCACTCTGTTAGCATGTCTCGCAAGCCCGAGAAGGAATACACTTCCATGTTTTGCCAGTTGTCACACTGGCAATCCCTACCGTTGCAAGTACATTTTTGTAGCAGTGCCGAGCTTCGACACAGAGTGGAAATCTGAAAGGAAGCCGGCCTTGGAACTTGTCCCAGGATCCAGGGAAATGGGTAGCTGGGAGGAAGTCTCTGATGAAGACTGATCAGAAGGCTCAAGGCCAAATTTCCTGTAGCCATTTGCATTAAGAGTAGTGCTTGGTGGATCACTGGTGGCTGAGCGACCAATGGCAGAGCCTCCATCTGAAGCATCACAGAGGGTCTTGTGCTTTAGCTGAGTGCTGCAAGGTGTCTTTGAGCTGCAGTGTGTAAACTTTGGGGGGTGGAGGACTGGGGATTTAGAGCGTCGTCTGCGAGGTGTTCTGGTTGCGCCTCGTATAGTCTTTCTTGTTGATCTGAAGTGGACAAAAAGCTACATTTAATAAAGGATTGACTCAAACAAGAACACATTAATAATCAGTTATAAAAGGGCAGCAAAGACCAACTAGCATGGAATTCAGTATCTTCCAGTCCAATCTTGGAACAAGGGAGTATGTACAGTACTCCCACTGACAACAGAGAAAGCTCACAAAAGTCATATGCCAGCTGAACATTTTACAGACATTGGCTGCATTGTTCTTGGACTTTGTCCAGCCCAAATGTGAAGTCGAATCTTACAGAACAGTGAGATCCTCGCCTACTGGCTGCAGTTTAGGCCCGAAGATAGAATCAAAGTAATATAACACTCCAACAGACTACATTGAATGTTAGGGTAGATTTTAATTTGATGGGTTATTACATATTAAAGGATAGTTTCACCTTTCTCTCAACATCCACCGCCTCACCCCCCAATCTACTACAGTGGGCAGGGGACTTTCTCCCTGCTCCTGCTGTCACAATTTAAAAGTAGCGGGCTCCTCCCAGAATTCTGGGTCCCTCAGACACAGCGCATCACCGATCCACGGAAAGAGCCGAAGATGTCGGCTCGGTCATGTGATCAGCTGTGTCCAATCATAGCTGATCACATGAAAACAGGGAAATGCCGGTTATCGGCATTTCTCTCCTCACAAGCTGTCACGCTGACAGCTCAAGAGGAGAGCCGGTAATCGGCATTCCGCGGAGGGGACATGTACACTGATCATCAGAGCACTGTGATGAGTGTAGCCCCAGCAGTGCCACCTGTCAGTGTCCATCAGTGCCAGTGCCACATATCAGTGCCCACCAGTGCCTACCAGTGCACTTCAATGCCACATATCAGTGCCCATCTGAGCTGCCTTTCAGTGTCACCCATCAGTGTGACCTATCAATGCCAATCAGTGCTGCCAGTCAGTGCCGCCTATCAGTGCGCGTCAGTGCTGCCTATCAGTGCCCGTCAATGCCGCCTATCAGTGATGCCTGTCAATGCCCATCAGTGCCACCTATCAGTGTCCATCAGTGCAGCCTATCAGTGCCCATCACTGCAGCCTCATTAGCGCACATCAGTGAAGGAGAAAAATCACTAATTTACAAAATTTTATAACAAAAACTAAGAAAAAGTTTAAGAAAAAGTAAAAACCCAGAGGTGATTGAATACCATCAAAATTAAGCTCTGTCACAAAAAAATGATAAAAATTTAATATGGGTACCGTGTTGCATGACCGCGCAATTGTCATTCAAAGTGTGACAGAACTGAAAGCTGGAAATTGGCCTGGGCAGGAAGGGGGTATAAGTGCCCGGTAGGCAAGGGGTTACGTTTATGTGTAAAAATGCACGTTGTCATGATTTGAATGCAGCAGATCACAAACAAAACCACTGCAGTGACCATGGAACATTGTCACAAAGGTAGTAATAAGCATCTGCAATTATTTTGCTTCCATGTATCTCTACGGAAAGGTTTCCTTGAAGTAATCTGCCGCCTGCTCCATGAAATGCTTCCAGGCTAGTAAACAATCTGCGTTCTACTACTTCAGTTTAGGATTAGATCAATCTACAGCTATTCCAACAATGCACAAGCTCCCCAGCATGCGGACATGTTTGTTTTGGCCAACCTTAGCTTGTAGGCTTTCTCTTATCACTGCGACATGAGTCACTGAATTATCAGCTACACTGCTCTCCAAAATAATAGAAGAAATGGACATACCAGAAACACTTCATTACCGCAGACACTTAACAAAAACATTTCTATTGTTTCAAGACAACCAATCAGGTTAGGGGAAGGAGGACAAAAGAAACAAAAAAAAGGTACTCCCCACTCCCTGCTGTACCCCTCCATAATTTAGTGGGTGAATGTCTGGCTTCCTTCACATCAGCTCACCATAAACCTGACCAGCCATACCATCCAAAAGTGATATTTTATTTACCGCTTAATTTGATATGTCCATCCCCTTGTTTGTAAGGCTCAGTTTCACATTGAAAGCAGGGGTGTTTTTAACGATCCTCAAACAACTATGAAAATGAAACACATGGCAGCACACAGTGTTGTTCACACTGAAGTGTTAGCGTCGCATCAAAACTGACACCTCATGTCCAGTCAGGAGTTGAAGCCTTTCAACGCCTCCCATTCAAGTCTATAGTGACGCTCCTCAAACGCCTCAACTCCACAAACGTTCATTATAGGCGTTTGTGGTGCAATTTTAATAATTGTAAAAACGCCTCAAAACCCTGCATAGGACATTTGGGGAGCGTTTTTAACACTTATAAAACGCCTGTCTAACGCTATAGCGGTGTTTGAGAAGAAGTCAAGTGTGAACAAGCCACGATAGGTCTTGGATGCTCTAAGAGTGAGCTTTCTCTGCCATAAATCCCGGCTCTACTCCTGTCTACCTGGGAGTTTTGGGAGGTCCTGCGCACCTTTGGCCTCATGCACACTGGACTTTTTTCAGCTGCTCCTAGGAGCATCTGGCATTTTTCCTGCCTCTAAACTCTGTTCCATGTTATAGAGAGAAAAACAGGTGGCGCACACACCTAGTGCATTATCCAAGGTTTATTGTAGGAATTAAATCATAAAAAACATACTCACAGACGAAGCATGTATCTAAAAAGCATAGAAAAATGACAATGGCCACAACGGCAGGCAAGGTGTTCTCACTCTCAGTGCGGTCAAATGGCTGACGCGTTTCGGGGACGAATCCCTTTCCTCAGAGCTGATGACCAACCTCTGATGCTGATGCACGATGAATGGAAAGTAAAGTGAGAGCCCTGCTGTTGATGCCTGAGTGGGATGGTGAGGGAGTGTGCTTTTATACCTGTGGGGAAATGGCTGCTGGAATGCAAACCACAAGACAGTGAGAACACCTTGCCTGCCGTTGTGGCCATTGTCATTTTTCTATGCTTTTTAGATACATGCTTCGTCTGTGAGTATGTTTTTATGATTTAATTCCTACAATAAACCTTGGATAATGCACTAGGTGTGTGCGCCACCTGTTTTTCTCTCTATCCAGTGGCTGATTTCCCCGTCTGAGGAGGGCTGCACCCCTGGAACATTTCCTTTTGGTTGTCGCTGTCCTGGTACCCTTGGCTTCCCTTTTGGCTGTGCATATCTTGAGGCGCTGGAGAGTACATACGCTATCCGGTTCTGTTCCATGTTAGCCTATGTACCCATGCATACAAAGGCTTTTAGAGGAGATTAAAGACCGAAAATAACACACAGCCAGTGCATCCAGCAGCGTTTTGCCAGAAAAAATGCTTGCCGCATCTAAATGCGCATTGACGTGTTTAGTGTGAGTTAATTCATTTCAATGGCCAGAATAAATAATTATTCTGGCCAATAAAGTAAATTAAAGCCCAAACCCTAGACACAGGTAAACACATTCATTAGCTGGTAAGCTCCAAGTAGCAGGGCCCTCCTATCCCTCTTGTATTGAACTGTATTGTTGCTGTATTGTCTCCCATTATATTGTAAAGCGCTGAGCAAACTGTTGGCGCTATATAAATCCTGTATTATAATAATAACAATATATAAATCCTGTATAATAATAATAATAATTTACAAGCATCTTTTAATGTAAAAACACAGCCGAAAGGAGGAAAGACTTCTAGGAGAGAGAGAAAAATCCAATGTGCACGAGGTCTTTGGTGTCCTTTTATGAAACTGAGATCAGTGGCGATCCTGAGGATCATTGCTGATTTCAGATCATTAGTGGTTTAGGAAACAGATGATCAGAAGGGAACATGTTCTCCACTGATCATCTCAGCACATAGACTTCCAGTGTGTGTAGGAGCGATGTCAGCCCTTCACTGGCAATCTGTGTTCTCCCTCCAGAATCGGAAGAACCCCAAACAAAGCAGCGATAATTTAAACTGTGTTTGACTGATCTCTCGCGATATTATAGTAACAGCAGCCGTTTTCCAGCGTTTGTAGATCGCTTCTCTCTTCATTTGGAGAAGCGATCTACACCGCTTCAGAAAAAGGTATTCAGAGGAGAACTCCTCTGAGAATGCTGGAGAACCGAGCAGCGGGCATTTACTGCTGCATGATAAAATGACACCTTTGTGTGTTTTAGCTCCTCCCCTTAAATTCAGCATATTATTATTATAAAAGGGATATTGGGAACCCCTTGGAATCAGCACAAGTATGCAGACCCAGGAAAGATCTCACCAGTCCCCCAAGAAAGAGACTTTCAGGTGGTTAACTCTCCAACATCAAAAACTGAAAACACCAGTATTGGGTGGACTGACCATTAACGGTAAAAGAAAAGAACTGAAATCCATCTCCAAACATTTACCCGTGCCAGCTATCCTTCAGGCAACCAGAGACTTTTGGCTTGGTGTCTTCCAAAGAAGGCCTTCCACACGTCCTTGAAGGGCAGCCATCAGCAGCAGACAGAGATGCTGTGCACCTGCAATACAAAATTAACCATAAATCCTTACAGATAGAAGGCCAGACATGCATCATTATACATATTACTAGTCAACAATATAATCCATCTGCGGGATGGGCTTTACTGTGGTCAGCTATAACCATCCCTGCAGACTGTCCCCAAAATCTTCATTTGATATTCAAAAAGGAAAAAAAAAAAAAAAAAAACACACATCTTTCTGCTGCAGAGTCAGAGATGCAACAGTGTTCTTCCTGTGTTTTTCCAAGATCTGACATACTGTATACAATGTGAACAAGGCTGATGTACCCATGCTACAATCAAAGAGCATGGAGGTGTAAAAAAAAAAAAAAGTATCTGGTGATTAAAGGGATTCTGTCATTAAGCTGATGCCCCGTGCATAAAACAAACATGAGGAAAACTGAAACGGTGTACCCTTCAGGTTAGCCCCGGGGTAAGGAGGTACTTATTCAGTATCACTGTAGAGGGAACTAGTGTAGACAAAGTAAATTTGTTCCCAAAACTGAAAGGCACTGAATCATCTGCCTATACTTGAACATGCCCCAGTGTGCTGTGCACATTAACCAACAGACAGGAGCAGCTCATCTGGTCAGTCATTCTCTTCCCAATAAAAGCCAAACGATTGTACAGAGATTTTCCAGCAAGCAGTAAGATCTCTGCGGTAATGAGTACAGGCGTACCTCGGTTTACGAATTGAATGCGTTCGTATTGCAAAAAAATCGTAAACCGAAATGCGGTTTCCCATAGGAATGCATTGAAAACCAATTAATCCGTTCTGGAGGTCAGAAAAAAGTAAAAAAAAAAAAAAAAAAAAGTATTTTATCTGTTAAACTCTTTATAAAGTGCACTTTAAAGGCATAAAAGGACATGATTAAAAAAATAAATAAATAAATTGTAAATGCATTGAAAACCAATTAATCTGTTCTGGAGGTCAGAAAACAGTATAAAAAAAAAAAGTCTTCTCTGTTCAAAAAACTCTTTAAAGTGCACTTTAAAAGCATAGTACTGTACAGGGACATGATTAAAAAAAATTGTAAATTAATTGAAAACCACTTAATGCGTTCGTATTGCGAAAAAAAAAAAAATTTGTAAATGCATTGAAAACCAATTCATCTGTTCGTATTGTGAAAAAAATTTGTAAACCGAGGCATTATTATCAATGGATTCTCATTCGTAAACCGAAAATTACGTTAAGCGAGGCGTTCGTAAACCGAGATACGCCTGTACTTTATCTCCTCTTGGCTATCCCTAAATGGCCTGCGCCTTGCCCCGCATTATGACCGATCGCTCTGAAAATGCTAACAGCCTGATTGTCATGCTGACCCCTCTTACTTAAACCAGTATGCAAACAAGGACCTCTGACGTTTTCTGATTCACATACTTGTTGCAGGTCAGTGGTATAAATAAATAAATAAATAAAAAAAAAAAAAAGCTAGTGCATCGGCATAGCAGCCAGATGAGCAGCATTTTCAGAGATACCTACCATTCTGCTGGAACTGATCCAACACATACTGGCTACACACAGTCTTAATCTACAGCCCCCGGCATCTTTTTTTTTTTTTATAATGAACTATTGTAATGACACCGGTACATATTTGTAAAGTTACAGTGTATAAAGACGGCAATAAAAATAGGAAAGCATGCTAACAGTGTTACTGAACATGATATAGAGTTTTGAATGTCACTATACATGGGAAATAAAAGAAAAAAAAAAAAACTGTGTGGCTGTGTAAGCTGTATATACATCTATGAATGCTCAATAAAAAAAATATTTTTTTTCGCTCACCCTAATTATTAGGTTGTTATTGTCATTTGTAAAGTCATCTCATTACAGTAAGACTATGTATACAGATGTACAGCGTGCAGAGCCTGCACCATGAACAACCACCCATTGAAATGCATTGGGAGAGGGTAGTCGTACACTGGAGTCTGCATACAGCACCTGCACAAACGTATGCTCGAAACGCACACCATCTGCACACATGTGGATGTTTACATAACTCTTGGCACCCACTCATGTATCTTTTCTATCACATCTCAATGGGAGGTGGCAGGGGATCCCAAGAAAGTCATTGTGCATGCTGTATGGCCCCTGTACAGCATTACAGTGTTACTATACCCAGGACCCTGCATTCACTATTCACCTCCACCCAAGAGACGCCACTGCCTCGCTAACGTGTTTCACCATGAATGGCTTGATCACAAGAATAGAGGGTGGCCTTATGATCAAGCCATTTGTGGTGAAACGTGTTGTTAAGGAGGCAGAGGCGTCTCTTGGGTGGAGGCAGAGGCGTCTCTTGGGTGGAGGCAGAGGCGTCTCTTGGGTGGAGGCAGAGGCGTCTCTTGGGTGGAGGCAGAGGCGTCTCTTGGGTGGAGGCAGAGGCGTCTCTTGGGTGGAGGCAGAGGCGTCTCTTGGGTGGAGGCAGAGGCGTCTCTTGGGTGGAGGCAGAGGCGTCCCTTGGGTGGAGGCAGAGGCGTCCCTTGGGTGGAGGCAGAGGCGTCCCTTGGGTGGAGGCAGAGGCGTCCCTTGGGTGGAGGCAGAGGCGTCCCTTGGGTGGAGGCAGAGGCGTCCCTTGGGTGGAGGCAGAGGCGTCCCTTGGGTGGAGGCAGAGGGGTCCCTTGGGTGGACGCAGAGGCGTCCCTTGGGTGGACGCAGAGGCGTCCCTTGGGTGGACGCAGAGGCGTCTCTTGGGTGGAGGCAGAGGCGTCTCTTGGGTGGAGGCAGAGGCGTCTCTTGGGTGGAGGCAGAGGCGTCTCTTGGGTGGAGGCAGTGGCGTCTCTTGGGTGGAGGCAGAGGCGTCTCTTGGGTGGACGCAGAGGCGTCTCTTGGGTGGACGCAGAGGCGTCTCTTGGGTGGAGGCAGAGGCGTCTCTTGGGTGGAGGCAGTGGCGTCTCTTTGGTGGGAACACTGATTGCAGCTACACCTGAATAAATATATTTGGAAGAGACGAGATTGGAGTGTGGCTCTCATTCTTCTATGTATTACAATGGCAAGCCAGGACCCTATTAATCTGTGGATAGGTCAGAAGAGCAGGTTTGTAGCAGATCTGCCGGTTTGGGATGTTTCAACTACAATAAATCCACTTGCTTCATGTTTTGTCAAATTAAGCAAGGAAGCCTCTATGGAGCTTTAGGTCCCTATGTCAATGTAACCAAATACTCTAGGAGCCACCACTTTGGATCACATATATTGGAACTGGTAAATTATTCAAGCTAAAAGTAGGAACCCGGGACCACAGAGGTCTAATTTTGGAGCATCCTAAAACCATGTGAAGAAAATCACCATCCATAGCTAAGCATTTGTGACAAACAGAAGCACCCCTCTTACCCATTTTGGACAGACTAACTGGGGTAACATATGGGGTAAAATGAAAACATCAAAGCTGAATAAAGTCCATCTACTGTACATGTAATGGGGCTAATATAAGAGTTAGAAAGTTCATCCCAATCCTGGTCAGTAAAATCCAGAATGTCCCTTTTCTGTTGGTCTCAGATCTGGGGTAACAGAAGGCTTCACTTGCAGTTGGGTACTAGAAAATCTAATGACCAACCAGTACTAATTTACTTTCCAATAAGGAGGATTGAAAAAAGTAAATCAATGAAACTAAAGGAGCCTCAGAAAGTGCAGATAGCCTAGAGAGGTGGATAGAGACACAGCCGCATACCAAAACTTGACAGCCATGCAGGAGTGGGTACAAGTTCCTGAATATACAGGACCACGCAAAGGCCTTCCCATGAATATAGCTGATGCACGTACTTCAATTCTGCATTAGCCCACGGAGGACTCATTGGACCGGCCATAAACCAGTCTAATTCTGGGTTACACCAGACATGTTCATTTGGAGGAGCAATGTAGACTGTCATAGGACAATCCGAATAGAACTAGGCTATTTTAGCAGAGTCTTCCTATGGCCTGGAAAGATTTCTTGTTCCCTTTTCCCAGGCAGTGATTGGCTGAAAAACTGGAACAGAGCAAACTGAAGCACCACGGGTGTCATGCAAAGCAAGTTTTTTGTTCCACCAAAAAAAAAAAAAATGAAACCAGATGGGTTGTGTGAGTGGCTACCAGAATCAGCCCAGCTGAAGTACAGATTTCTAGCACAGGACTCACCCTTCTCCATCTACACGCAGTTTTTTAAATGCGCTCTGAAGGTTTTCTTCGTCCCCGTCCTTGGCCTCCGACTCCATCACTGACTTGTGCAGGCAAATGTGAAGGCAAGAACCGCAGCTGCAATCTACAGCAACACAGAAGGGGGAAGATGGTCAGAACACAAAGGTCCATTGTATTTTCAGAACGCAAACATTAAACAAAATCTGTCAAAAGTCATAAACCAATAACGAAAAGGCAAGGACTTCACATCTTCTCTTCAAACTATACATGATACCGCAGAGCTCAGACTGACAAAAATACAACTCAGTGTTCTGACCGGGGATAGAACTAAGACAGGACTGGACAAATCTCACCCAGAACTAGAAGCCAGCTTTAAATTCCCACGATTAGGCACTATGCAATCTGCAGGGGTCATGCGTAGGCAAGGTGCAGAGTGCAGGGGTCATGCGTAGGCAAGGTGCAGAGTGCAGGGCTCATGCGTAGGCATGGTGCAGAGTGCAGGGCTCATGCGTAGGCATGGTGCAGAGTGCAGGGCTCATGCGTAGGCATGGTGCAGGAGTCATGCGTAGGCAAGGTGCAGGGTGCAGGAGTCATGCGTAGGCAAGGTGCAGGGCTCAGGCGTAGGCAAGGTGCAGGGCTCAGGCGTAGGCAAGGTGCAGGGCTCAGGCGTAGGCAAGGTGCAGGGCTCAGGCGTAGGCAAGGTGCAGGGCTCAGGCGTACGCAAGGTGCAGGGCTCAGGCGTACGCAAGGTGCAGGGCTCAGGCGTACGCAAGGTGCAGGGCTCAGGCGTACGCAAGGTGCAGAATGCAGGGGTCAGGTGTATGCAAGGAGCAGAGTGCAGGGGTTAGAAGTATATATAGCCCTGTGCGTCAGTTTACCACCACCCCCTCATGCGTAACACAACAGTACCACCTGCGCACTCATAGTATAAACACATACACATATCTAGCATCTCTTTATATCACTGACAGCTGATACAGAACCTCATATCGCAGCACTCCCTGTAGGAATACATATTACACAGAGTATGTATCAGTAAAGTACCAGAGCAATGTCACTGACTGTCAGAGGTGTATCACTGAACAAAGTCCAAAATCCCAAATCTTTATCAGGTAAAACCAAAACTATATGTATCTAATGTGTGTAGATGTCTTTCTGAAGTTCCACTTACATACTCCCTATAAATCTGCCTGGACTTCCTCTTTAACATGTACAGATCCATAAACTTCAGTGTACATGAACATCTAAGGGTTCATGTACACTGAAGCTGCTAAACTGACGTTCAGGAGGTGTTCAGCGTTTTATTCAGCAGCCCCTGAACTCTCCCTAATGTTTTCCTATGTGTCCATGTATATATAGTCATTTACAGGAAGTTCCAGGTTTCGCGTGAAGGAAACAATGGTAGAACGTGCCGCATTATGCTCATGATGGGATCTATAGTGAATACAACCAGAAAAGACCGGTCATTTCAACGCATACTGATCTCTCTGCTTCTGCTCTCTTGTCTGAAATAGTTCATTTTTTACTGTTTTTCAGTGTATTCTGGGCATTTTGGAAGGTCTCCTGAGATTATCTTAAAAAGATATTTCTAAACGCAAACGCTCATAAACGCGGTACGCAAACGCAGCTGAACAGATGGTTTTTAACCTACGTTTTCCAGCAGTCAGTCGTTCAAAAGTGTTTTCCAAACGTCCCATGTACATGAGCCCTAAGGCAGCACAAGAATCTCCCAACTAGCCTAGGGTAACCCAAATGTGAACCCTAGTGATCTGCAGAAGCCCTGCTGTAACGTACCATCAGAGTCCAACCTACCATGGATGAGGAATGAGCACTGTGACATGTGGTACCAGAAACTTCAGGGAAATGCCACACAGAGCCAATCACATGATGACAGTACATAATGAACATGCCCATGTGGACCAAGTAAACTATCCTGACACTCAGATGATTCATGACTCCATAGATGACGTCATTATGTTACACAGTGAAGTCATAATAACTCCATTATTCAGTTCCCTTTATCAGTGGTGAAACAAACGTAAATCCTGCTGGACAGTAAAGTCCTCCTGTCACTGGAATAAACAAAACACAGCTCACATTTCTAAAAAGAAGGCGTTTTACATCTCTCGATACCATCTCTGTTTTTGATTTTATTTTGTGGAACTGTTAGCACTGCTTAGCCCCCTTCCTATAGTAGACACCCAGTACTGTGTCGGTGTCAGGATCATTGAGGGCCCATTCACATTGTGCGTGGCTGCAACTATGTGCGATGACCAGCACACCATACAGTACAACACACATCACAACGTATGGACCGTGCATTGTGGTGTGCTGTGCTGTGTACAGAAAATAAGGTCACGGATGGTCTTTCATCCCTTGTGGTGTGCTGTGTATAGGAAAAAAAAAGGTCACAGATATTCTTTCATCCCTTGTGGTGTGCCTGCGGACCATTCATAATATATAAAAAACAAGTGGGCTGTACACTAAATGGTCATAAACCATAATCAAATAAATACTGCTGCATAAAAAATGTGCATAAATTAATTGAAATTATATAATGGTTAGCACGTCTGCCTTGCAGTAAATGGGTCATGGGTTCGATTCCCGACCACGGCACCTCCTGCATGGAGTTTGCATGTTCTACCTGTGCCTGCATGGGTTTCCTCTGTGTACTCCGGTTTCCTCCCACACTTCAAAGACATGCTGGTAGGTTAATTGGCTCCTGTCTAAATTGTCCCTAGTATATGTATGTATGAATGTGAGTTAGGGACCTTAGATTGTACGCCCCTTGAGGGTTAGGGACTGATGTGAATGTACAATATATATGTAAAGTGCTGTGTAAATTGATAGCGCTATATAAGTACCGTATATACTCGAGTATAAGCCAACCCGAATATAAGCCGAGGTACCTAATTTTACCACAAAAAACTGGGAAAAACTATTGACTCGAGTATAAGCCGAGGGGGGAGGAATAGTGCCCCATCGTTGGTGTCAGTGGGGGGAGGAATAGTGCCCCATCGTTGGTGTCAGTGGGGGGAGGAATAGTGCCCCATCGTTGGTGTCAGTGGGGGGAGGAATAGTGCCCCATCGTTGGTGTCAGTGGGGGGAGGAATAGTGCCCCATCGTTGGTGACCCCTGCTCCAGCCTGGGCTCGCTCGCTCGCTCCCTCCCTCTCCCATGGTACACACTTACCGGTCAGATGTCTTCCTTCTCCGGCCGCTCTCCTCCTCTTCACTCGCTCGATCTTCGCGGTGCCGCTCGGCTCCTCCTCTCCAAGCTCCACCTCCTCGCCGGTGATTGGGCACCTGTGTGCCTCTCCTGAGCTACAGTTCCGGCGCCCAATCACCGGCGAGGATTGATCCCGGGGGTGTGTCCAGATGACAGGGACGGCATGTCATCTGCAGACGTTGACTCGAGTATAAGCCGAGGGGGCCGTTTTTCAGCACAAAAAATGTGCTAAAAAAACTCGGCTTATACTCGAGTATATACGGTACCTGAAATAAATAAGTAAACATTCATATATTAAATAATTAAAAGTCCCAAAATCCAATAAAGAAGTTTAATTATTTAATATATGAATGTGGCATCCTGGCTGAACACTTTCATGGGAACAGAGTGATTGTCTGGAATTGATTTTCCTGACTGATTGGTACTGCCCCCCCAACATGTCATGTGCTCCCCCCTCCCTCCGTATAACATTTCATTACAGTGGGGCTTCTGCAGCATAGCTGTACACAAGTAGTGACATGCAGGCCAAGCAGCTGCTGCAAGAAAATCATTTTCAGAATAAGCCTCACAGAGGCTGCCTGATGGGTCCACCTTTCCTTTTGCCTCCTAAGCGTTTAACCTCCCTAGCGGTATGATTATGTCAGTATTTCTGTGCTGAAAGCGGTACATTTTTTTGCATGGAAATGTGTAGTTTTTTTATTGTAGGCCTGTAATTTTTAGGAATAACTCACTGAAATCTGTCCAAACAAGAGTCTAGTAAACATCCCGGGTATGATCATTTGAAACACGAAATCATATATTAGAATATAATAATCATAAAAAATATAATAAATGTAATTCAATAATATAATCAAACCAAAAACACTGAAATGTGAAATATAGCGCCAAGTTCGCACTCATTGCTGAGCTCAGTCGCAAAATCGTTTTCAGTGTCTGATGAGGAATTTCCCCACGAATCATTATCACTCAATTCTGCAAGTGGTTCTGATTTACTATCGCTGTTCTCTAGCTGATCTAAAACCGCTTTTGACCTAAAGGGACGCTTTTTGGACGCCATGGACGTTTCTCAGTTTCCAGGCAGAAAGAACAGTAAAAATACAGGCAGGGCGCCGGACAAAGCACTCGGGACAAATTGTATGTGAAATGGTTTGATACAGGAATGTTATACTATGTGATTTTAGTGAATGTCACTTTTTCACATTTTTAAAATTCACGTCGTTCTGTCCCCCATATGTCCCGACGTCACAGGGAACGGAAGACGGATGCCGACATCAGCCAGAGGACATGGCCGGGGACACTGCAGGGGGGACATCACAGGAGTGCAGGACAAGGTAAGTGATCGAGGGATCCCGGAACAACGCTGCATGGTAAGGGTAAGAGTGTAGCTCGGGGTCACTGCTTTGGTACTGAAAGTTAACCCCGAGCTACACTCGGGAATACCGCCAGGGAGGTTAAATGTCATCTCTTCCCCATGTATGAGAACATGACAGACGATGTTCCCTGTGGCACACCGTTCATCAATCAGGCCTCTAGAGAGCGCAGTGTTTCCAATAATATGAACTCTGATCATAGACCTGCTCTGAGATAAGTGATGCAAAGTAGGCCAATCACTGTGTAATACAGCTAGACAAGAACCACGGCGTGTGCATGTGACCAAGGGGACTACCACAGCTACAGTGCCAATCCGGGCAGCACATTACACTGCTCACTTTTTTTTTTTTAAACAAACTTTATTGAAATGCCACACAATGACATTTCATTAGGTTCTACTGACCGCCCTGCACTGCTCTGCCTAATGTTGTATTCACACCTGAGTGTTTTCAGAGCTGCTCAGTCAATAAAATCCCAT